CACACAGCAACTTTGGAGGCCTAAAGAGTTGTGGCCTTCTATGTAAGTCCCATTGCCTCTTCCACACCCCGCCCCAACATTCCCCTACTTCATTAAACTTTGTTTCGGGTTATAAAAATAATGCATAATTATTGCAGGAGAAAACAGTAATTGAAAATCACCTGTGTCTTTCACTCGAAGGCAATGACTTAACATTTGGTATTCATCTTATGTGTATGGATGTACACATAATTTTGTGATCATGTATGTGAGTGTTCATAACTGTAGCACACACACTTGTATACTTCCTTTAAACATATGTTTCCTTGTCAATCTTTTTTTGAAAACACAATCTTTTTATGGCTGCATTATATTTCAACATGTATATGGGTCATCACTTATTTAATAGGAATTGGATATTTGATGCTCATTTTTAGCAAGCTATTATAAATAAAGCTGAGATGATGATTTCTCTAGGATAAATTCCTGAAGTAGAATTTTTCGGGAGAAAATAGCGGAACTTTCTAAATTCCACTGACATTTAATGCCAAATTTCTCTCCTAAGACCTTGTTTCAGCTTCTTCTCTCCCTTGCAGAGTGTGAACAAGTATGTTTGTCTGTGTCATTACTAACACTGGGTTATCATTCTTTTTAACCCTTGCTAGTCTGATAGGTAAAGCATAAGGTTTCGTTTGTTTGTTTTTGGAGAGACAGAGTCTCACTCTGTTGTCCAGGCTGGAGTGCACAGGTGCGCTCTCAGCTCACTGCAGCCTCAACCTCTAGGCACAAGTGATCCTCCTAGCTCAGTCTCCTAAGTAGCTGGGACTACAGGCACGCACCATTACACCTAGCTGATTTTTTAATTGTTTGTAGAGGGGGATCTTGCTGTGTTGCCTAGGCTGGTCTTAAACTCCTGGGTTCAAGTGATCCTCCTGCCTTGGCCTTCCGAAGTGTTGGAATTACAGGTGTGAGTCACTGTGCCTGGCAGCAATATTTTTTAAATCATAAGGAAAGCTAAAGATTCTATTTTATAGTTATTGGTGACTCATACTTCTTTCGTGGTTTGCCTATTATTTTCCTGTCTTTTATACAGAGCTGTTACTTGAGTTATTTTCATGTTAGAGGTAAGTCCTTTTCTATCATATAGTATAGATGTTTGCTCCAGTTTGTTATTCCCCTTTGGTTTATGGTATTTCACCTAAATGTGTGTGTGTGCGTGCGTGTGTGTGTGTGTGTGTGTGTGTGTGTGTGTGTTTATTTTAAAACTTACTGGAAAGTACTGTAGGAAATAATCCTATCACTCAGAATGCACAGACATTTTTACATTGTAGTTTTGGTTCTGTCTTTTTTATAAAGGAAATAAATATATAAAAATTGGAATCATCTTGATTCTTCTTCCCATCCTCTCCCTTCCTTCCCTAGGGCAGCTGCTATTATGAATTGAAATTTTCCTACTGTGACCATATATTACTACCAATAAAAGACATACAGTACTAGTTTGTGACCAGGCATGGTGGATCACACCTGTAATTCCAGCAGGTGTTTAGTAGAGATGGTGAAGCCCTATCTCAACTAAAAATACAAAAATTAGCCTGGCATGGTGGCAAGTGCCTGTAATCCCTAGCTTCTCAGGAGGCTGAGACAGGAGAATCGCTTGAACCCAGGAGGTGGAGGTTGAGTGAACCAACATGGTGCCACTGCACTCCAGCCTGGGCAACAGAGTGAGACTCCATCTCAAAAAAAAAAAAAAAGCAGTATTAGTTTGTGTATGTGTACACACGTGCACGCTCTCAGTTACATACAGACCGTCATTGCTGTTATCTTCGAGCATTCTGCCTTATCTGCACGGGTGTTCAGTTCAATTAATAATGACATACATAGATCTAGTCCTTTCTTGCTGTCTGGTATCACATCTAGTAAACATGGCTCTAGTTTCTTCCTCAGTTTATTTATCGATGCTCCTATCTAGTGAACACTGAGGAGGCTTCTCATTTTTCCATAACAACATTGCTGTGAACGTTCATATACGTCTGTCCTCGTGCATAAAGGGGCAATCTTAGAAGTGTGTGGCGGATTATGTGGATTTTTAGATCTATCGGCCCTTGACAGATTGTTCCCAAGTAGTCACCCCAGCTGACACCCACCAGTGTGAAAGGGCTTCTCTTGTCCCACACCTTCCAAGACATGCTATTAAATTCAGTAATTTTTGCCAATCTGTGAAAGTGAGATAGAATCTCATTGTGGTTTTAGTTTGCGTTATCCTGACTGTTGATAGGATTGAACATCTTTTTATTATATTGTAGATATTGGGTTATGGTTAATAATTCTGGTTATTGCCTGAGGTGTAACATGTTTTTTATTCTGTGTGCTTTCTCTTCCTGCCCTTTGCTCATTTTCCGCGTTGCTCATTTATCTTTTTCATACTGATTCTTTGGTGTTCTTTGTGTCTTAGATACTTATACCATTTTAATTTATTTTATTTGTTTATTTTTGAGACAGAGTCTTGCTCTGTTGCCTAGTCTTGACTCATTGCAATCTCCACCTCCTGGGTTCAAGTGATTCTTTTGCTTTAGACTCTCGAGTAGCTGGGACTACAGGTGCGTGGCACTATGCCCGGCTACTTTTTGTATTTTTTGTAGAGATGAGATTTCACTGTGTTAGCCAGGCTGGTCTCAAACTCCTGACCTCGAGTGATCCTCCCATGTCAGTCTCCCAAAGTGCTGGGATTATAGTTGTGAGCCACTGTGCCTAGCCAGATACTAATACCATATGATATGTACTCTGGCCATCTTCTGATCCATGGCTTACTCTTCCTTTTTTCTTTAACTCAGCATTTACTGCACTCCAGAGTAGTGCCAAGCCCTTGCCTCCAAGTATGAAGCTGACTTAGCTATATCCTCAAGGAATGTAGCATATACTCGGAGTATTAGCAAGTCCTGCAGGAACCAACAGGAGGGCTAGGGAAACACTCAAACAACAGTAGATCTGGCAGCAACGACCACCACAGCAAAGAAGATGTATTAGTCCGTTCTTGCGTTGCTGTAAAGAAATGCCTGAGACTGAGTAATTTATAAAGAAAAGAGGTTTAACTGGCTCATGGTTCTGTAGGCTGCATAGGAAGCAGATGCTGGCATCTGTTTGGCTTCTTGGGAGGCTTCAGGAAACTTACAATCATGGTGGAAGGCAAAGGGAGAGCAATCACCTCACATGGCTGGAACAGGAGGGAGAGTGGAAGGTGTGCACCCTCGTAAACAACCAGATCTCACTATCACCATAACAGCACCAAGGGAGATGGTGCTAAACCCTGAGAAATCACTCCATGATCCAATCACCTCCCACCAGGCCCCACCTCCAGCACTGGAGATTGCATTTCAACATGAGACTTGGATGGGCCAAATAGCCAAACTATGTCAGAATGGTCTGGTCAGGCCTGAGGAAAGGGCCATCTAGTTAAGCAAAGCACAGAGGCACGAAAGTGGGTTGTCAGCTGAGAGTCCCCCTCATTCCTTTTTTGGCCTTAGCCTCCTGCCTCTTCAGCGCCTCTGTTCCCACCTCCACGTCTCACCTGCAGCCAGGTCAGCTGAGCACTTATGCCTCCTCCGTCTCCACTGCTCTCCATGCAGCCTCAAGCCCTGCCCTGGGACCCTCTCCTCTGCCTCCCTGCTGGGGAGCAGGCTTTTCAGCAGTTTCATCTTTTAAACCCTTTTTTACTGTACAGAAGTTTACATTTTTGATGTCTATTGATCAGTCGAACTTTATGCTATGTGCTTTTTATATCTTACCTACGAAATCCTTCTCCATGCCAAAGTCAGACTTTCTTTTCTTCAATAAAAATAAAATACATTAACTATCACAAAATAGAAAATTTGAAAAGCTTGTAGTTTCTTATACTAGTTTTTGTTTTTTATACTTAGGGCTTTCATCCATCTGGAGGTTTCTGTATTTGTTGTTAAAGTTACTCCCTTTTGTATGTCTTGTCCTCTGCATTGATGCTTTCTGGGTCCTCTCTGAAGGCTGAGGAGTATTCACTGACAGTCTGGCTGCTACCTGCCTTGCACTGCTTTGCCTCCTGTGAGTGTCGCCAGGCGAGGGCAGCCAGTGTCTGTTTGTCTGGCAGGTTTCTCTGTGTCTCAGGCACTGTTTGTGACATCGGTGATTTTGCATTCATGTTGTGGACCCTGGCCCCAAAGGGCTTGGTTTAAATTTCTGCGGAGAGATCATTCAGTTTCTGAAACCCCCACATTGCCTGTTGAGTATATGTTGAGCCTGGCACTGGAAATGTCCTCAGGTCTGTGAATACCGCTGAGTAGGGGATCCAGGGACGCCCTAATGATGCCTCTGCCAACCTTGAGCTCGCAGCCCCATTGTGTTCTATAAGAGATGAGAGAGCCTGATAAAGGATGTTTGTCTGTTTTAGCCTTACAGAAACAGGAGTTCCATCCAAGGAATCGGGGTGCTTTGAATTTCTCCCACTCCTGCCTACTCATTTTAGATCAAGAGAAAACAAAAATATCCTTCCAAGAATGTGTGTTTTCTACATTTCACATAATAAAAAGATAGAAAAAAATAGTTAACCAATGTATAGGACTCTCCTGGTAGGCGGTCACAAGAGTCCTGGAGCGCATGTCCAAGGTGACTGTCCTAAATACCTGTGGGAAACTGCGTCTTCACGTTGTCCGGATGCCCTCTTGTGTGTGCCTCTGCCGTCCCGCCACCAAATGCTTTGCTGGCGTCTTTCCAAGCAGAGAAGCGGCGCTGGAAGGTGAGCGTAGGATGACTTCCAAGTCAGCCCTTGAGTCTTTTTGCCAAATAGCACCTGCCAGGGCACCCTTCCTCCCGGCCTCAGCCTGCCTGCCTCTCGCCGAGGGCCATGGCATCATTTAGGAACTGGAAAGTGTCATTGACAGTTGGCGGTTTTTACATGTTTATTTCTGCCTAAAGATTTTGCTTTCACTTTCACTTTTTTCACTGCATATTAAAATTTTTCTTTTTTTATCCTGTCTTTGTGTTTTTTTCCTTAGGCCGGAAGCTGAGAGGAAAAGCCTTTTATTTTGTCAACGGCAAAGTGTTTTGTGAAGAAGACTTCTTGGTGAGTGTGTCACCCAAGCCTCCCCTTGCATGTCCTGGCCAGGGTCAGAGGGCAGGGGCCTGGGGGTACCTGGGCCAGCGTGTAGAGGAGCTGTGCTGCTGGAGAGAGGGATCTGCCTTTCCTTCTGTAGATGCGTGGGGGTGGCCGTGTTCCTGAGCCAATGCAAGCAACACAGCGCTGTGCTTTGAAGGAACTGTGGGGTCACTTGGCCTGTCCTCTTGCTGCTTTCTGCAGTTCTGCCTCTTCTACCACCCTGGACTCCTCCTCTTAAACCTCTGGACTGGGACCCAGGCTCTCTTCTCCTCATCCTGCTGTCTCTGGGAATCTAGCTTCTCCCATGGACTGGAAGTCCATCCATGTGCCAGTGGCTCCCAGACCTGGGCTGTCATCCTGCTGCATGTCTGAGGCCAGCCGCTGGCATCCCACTGCCCCCTGGACATGTACCCTGGGCTGTCTCCCAGCCCCTCAAATACCAGCCCCTCACCCCACTTATGTGAAGCAGAAAATCTTACCATGCCTTGCACCCTGATCTCTGAGAACTGCACCCTAGGTTTGTCCTCAGCCCCACCTCCTCGAATGCAGCCAGGCGTGGAACCCTGTGCGGCCATGTCTTCTACAGTTCTGCCTCCGTTCACACCTCCAGCATGGCTCAGCCAGGCTAGCTTAACGGGCTCCACACACAAACCTCAGGAGGCCTCATAGGGCGTAAACCTGACCTGTGTGGTCCCAGCATCTGCAGGGTACAAAGCACACTTAGAAACCCTCCGAGGTCTGGACCCCCTGCCGCCCACTCCTATGCAGCCTCATGCTGTCGTACCTTTGCTTGGGCCATTTCCCGCTTGCAACATCTTGGCCCTTTATTTGCCCAGATCCCCCCAACAGCCTTCCTGTCCCTCCTGCTCCCACAATGGAGGAGCTCCTCTGTGCTGCCACCACGCCCAGGGCCTGCCCTGAGGGCTGCTAGCCCTGAGCAGTGTGTCTGTTTATAAGTGTCCTTCATTGACTGAAAGCTCCCAGGGTGTCAAGAACGTGGATCTTCACCTTCACACCTGCAGATGCTAACACAGTGCCATGCACAGAGTGGGTGCTTGGTAGATGGTGGTTGAACTGACCCTGTCATCTCAGGGATGAGGAATGTGAGATGCAGAAATGGGCTCAGGGCCAGCTTCTCCCTGCCTTCCCTTGGAGAAAAGCTCTATTTGGTCTTCACTGAAAAGTTGATTCATTTTGACTCCTGTTGGCCAGAAACAGACAAGCAAACCCAAACAGGCTTAAGTATGAAGGAGATTATTCCAGCAGTGCCTCAGGAGTCATTTTCTCTGCAGTTTTTGGCCCTGCGTCTTGGTACCAAAAAGTCCTGTGTGATGGCCAAAAGTTGGCAGGACCGCAGAGTTTATATTCGCTCGGTTTCACATCCAACGGGCACGAGCGCCAGTCCCTCCTTCGGAATCCTCCACAGACATCTCCTGGAGTCTCATTGGCTCTTACTGGGCCACACGCCCACCCCTGGAAAAACTGTCAGTGCTGGAGGAATGTAAGGCTCTGATGGACCAGGTCTGTCGATGCCCTGCCTGGGCCCGGCATGGAGCCAGCCCACATGAGTGATGGGAGCTACATGGTGTGGGGCTGGGGGCAAGTGAAAATTAAAGAATTATCACCCCCAGAATGGGGCGTAGGTGCCAGACAACAGAAACCTCCATCCCGTGGTACAGAGTTGCAGACAGTTTCCCTTTTTAGTTTTTCCCACCTTTCTTTCATTAGGGTTCCCCCAGTTAAGTTGTGTTTGTAATACCCAAACTTCTAGTCTAGTGTGTAGGATCATCTAGTGTGTTTTTTGAAGAGAGTACCTCTTGTCTTTTTCAAGACTGTGTGTGTGTGTGTGTGTGTGTGTGTGTGTGTGTGTGTGTGTGTTTAGGTAAGATAAGGTAAAATAGATATTTATCAAGTTTCTTGGAAGCTAACTATAAAAAATATTAACTTTCTAACCAGAACCAGAGTTGAATGTGATACCTTTCCTTACCCTTTGTTGGCTATGTGACCTTGAAAAGGTCATTTAACCTCTGAGCTGCCCTCTGCCTCTATTTGAGGATTCTGGATAATCATATAGACCTTGCAGAACTGTCCTAAGCATCAGAGTGGAGGTTTGAGAATGCATCGAATCCCCTGAAAGGCTTGTGAAAAGACAGATTGCCAGAACCCACCACCTGAGTTTCCAAATCAGTAGGTCTGGAGTAGAGCCCAAGGATTTGCATTTTTTACAGTTTTCAAGTGATGCCAGGGAACTGCTCTTTGAGAACCACTGAGGTGGGATTAAAGCATCTCTATATACAGTTCCTTACCTACAGCCTGGCATGCTGTGGGTGCCCAGACACAGTCATTGTTAGAGTGAGTGGTACTAGTATTCGTGATGGCTTTTGTGGCAGAGAATATTCTACGACTCAGCCCACAGCTGTGTTGTACTTGGGGAATGACAGAATTCTGCACAGAGTGGCACATCTTTCTGAGAAATTCCTTATAATCCTCTTGGCTGGTCGGGAAGTGGCTGATTCATCTTCCCAGTCTGGGTTTAACTTTCTTTTCTCTTTCTTCTGCAGTACTCTGGTTTCCAGCAGTCGGCTGACAGGTGTTTTCTTTGTGGACATCTGATCATGGACATGGTGAGTAGGTCAGCCAAAGAAGAGAACAGCATCTCGGGTAGAGCAGGAGGCATTTACAGAAAAAAGAAATTAATAATTGAGGACAGTGTTTCTTATCTTGATGTGCAGTTATGGCTGGTTTTATTAAAAGAAGTCCTGGCTGGGTGCAGTGGCTCACGCCTGTAATCCCAGCACTTTGGGAGGCTAAGGTGGGCGGATCACGAGGTCAGGAGTTTGAGACCAGCCTGGCCATTACGGTAAAACCCCGTCTCTACTAAAAATACAAAAGTTAGCTGGCTGTGGTGGTGCATGCCTGTAGTCCCAGCTACTCAGGAGGCTGAGGCAGAAAAATCGCTTGAACCCGGGAGGTAGAGGTGGCAGTGAGCCAAGATCACTCCACTGCACTCCAGCCTGGGCAACAGAGTGAGACTCCGTCTCATTAAAAAAAAAAAAAAAAAAAAAAAAAGTTCTTATGAAGTGCAGCTTGCTTGATCGAATAGAACCCAAGTTTTTGGCTTTTATTGGAATTGACATCTTTAACCATCTAGAGCACAGGGTGTCAGGTTTCCGATAATGCTTTCTTCTCCTTTGGGTTGTTTGGATCACCCTGGCCTCTCTCTGGCTTCCCTGTGATCCTTCTGGCATCCCAGGTGAGATGCCAAGTACGGTCTGTTTTTACTGCAGAAACCTCGGCTACCTTGGAGTCAAATGCAGAAAGCCAGAGGAGCAAAGCTGTTTCTTTCCCTGTGTTCTGCCCAGCTCACACCGTTACTAAGATGCGTTTTTGGGGCTTGTCATTTAGTTCTGAGACAGCAGAGCCAGGACCACGTTTTATACATTCCATTCCTTGCTCAGCCACTGGCTGTCTGAGGTTATCTTGGGCTTCAGGTCTTCAGTGGGGACAGTTTTTCCCTAGAGGGTTAGGTTGCGAAGTTAATGAATACAAGATCAAGTTGTTCACCTTTGGAAACCAGACTTTAAGAAGTTCTTTAATATGTTGATCAGAGGAAATGATTATATAACATACTTTCAATTGGAAAGAATCAAATCCCTCTCTAAGCTGACTCATTAATTTCATTCTAGAGAAGAGAATTTTTAATCATGAGTATTTTTAATTTTACCTTTTTATTGAGAAATAACTCAGAGAATAAAAGATACAATTCTGAAGTGTAAAAGATACAAATCTTAACTCAACGTGTTTTCACACCTGCATATACCCCTGTAACCACCACCCAAATCAAGATGCAGAACACTTCCCAAACTCCAGAAAGTTCCTTCTTGTCTCTTCCACTCGAGACCCTGCTCCCACAAAGGCAACCACTATTCCAGCTTCTATTTTTTTTTTTTTTTTTGAGACGGAGTTTTGCTCTTGTTACCCAGGCTGGAGTGCAATGGCGCGATCTCGGCTCACTGCAACCTCCGCCTCCTGGGTTCAGGCAATTCTCCTGCCTCAGCCTCCTGAGTAGCTGGGATTACAGGCACGCGCCACCATGCCCAGCTAATTTTTTGTAGTTTTAGTAGAGACGGGGTTTCACTGTGTTGACCAGGATGGTCTCGATCTCTTGACCTCGTGATCCGCCCGCCTCGGCCTCCCAAAGTGCTGGGATTACAGGCGTGAGCCACCGCACCCGGCTATTCCAGCTTCTATTGCCAGAAATTCATTTTGCTGGTTTTGGAACTTCATATAAATAGAAACATATACTATATAGACTCCTTCAGGTCTTTCTTACATATATGTTTTTGAGATTCATCCATGCTGTTACCTGTATTGGTAGTTCATTGATTTTTATTGCTGAGTAGAATTCCATTGTATGGATATAGCACAACTTACTTCTCCCTTCTCGTGTTGATGGTGATTTGCTCGTTTCTAGTTTATTGCTATTTATGCATGAAGCTGCTGTGAACACTTTTGTACATGTCTTTGATGGACATAAACACTCACTTCTGCTGGTCATATGCTAACATTTATAAAACTTCAGTGACCCAGAGCCCTCCCTATTCATGATAAATATCTGCTATCACCCAGGCTTTGACAGACCTCAATAGAGGTCTTAGCCCTATTAGAGCCGTGTCCTCATTGGTAGCCAAGACCTTCCTGGGAAACATGGCCCTTCCCCCATGCTCGCAGCAGGAGGTAGGCAGAAGCTACATATGTTTACCCCTCCTACCCAGGTATCTTCTAGACTCTGGAGGGCTTTATTTCTTCAGCAGAATTTGCCCTTGTTTTTAATGTCCTTCTGACAAACCTACTGCATATGAAGTAAACATGGTCCAAATTAATGAGTATGATTATACCCTATTCTCAGTTCTAGTAATCCGAAGACTTCTTTGGATAACCCAAGGTATGTCATTTATCTATTACTGCATGACAAACCACCCCAAGACTTAGCAGTTTAAAACAATAGTGATTTCTTATTTATCATGCTGTGGGTCAGGAATTAGGTCAGGGTACCTCAGGGCGATTCTTCTGCTCTGTGCGGCATTGGCAAGGGTCTCATACTTAACTTTGTTCGGCTGGTAGCACAGTTGAACTGGAGCATCCAGGGTGACCTCTCACCCGCTAGTCCCCTCTCCCTGTAGCCTCTAATCATTCAGTAGTCTAGTTCAGACTTGCTTAGAGCAAGAGATAGGAAGTGGAAGCTTCCAGTCTTCTTAAGCCTTTGACTCAGAAATCTCAGAACATTGTTTCTTCTGCTTTCTGTTAATTAAAGAAAGTCACAAAGCCAGTTCTGATTCAAGGGGAGAGAGAAATAGTCTCCATCCCTTGATGTGAGATCGCTACCATATGGGATAGTATGAAATTGAATCTTCAGTCTTTCAGATCTTCTCTAGGACGTGAAAACTTTTAGTGAATGTCTAGACAGAACCTCAGCTGTCTAACTATTTGTGTAAATTGTCTCTCTGTTTCACCTTTTGTTAATGGAGGGGTACATTCTGGGCTTGCAGGTTAGAACCAGGTATAGTCTCACATAAAAAAGCATTACAGCTAGTCACAATGCAGCAAAGTGGCATCTTTTTCCAGTCTTACTTTAGGCACAATGTGGATTAAATTAGTTTAAGGATCTCTGTCTGCCAAGAGAGTGTTAATCTTAGGGGAAATGCATTCCAAGGTCCAAATTGCCAAATGGGTTTGGAAGCCCAGCCAGTTGTTTTTCCTGTTTTGCCTTACTGCAGATTGAGAGGGGCCTCAAAGGTTAGTGAAACCCAAGAGGAAGCTTGAAAGCTGAGCTTTTAGAGGAAAGCTGGAATAGCACAACACCCTCCTCTTGCCTTCTTGGCTGGAGCTTGTGCGATGTGAAGTTACCTCCTGAGGCTTCCAGGAGAAGGAGCTGGAACACAGCGTATCTTTCCCCCGGGTCTCACAGTATACTGACAAGGCTTCCCTAAATCCAAAATCCCCTTTCTTCAGCCTGCTTGAAGGCTTTCCGTGTGGCTCCCACTGCAGGATGCTGATGACCGTTCTGTACATTCTTTGCAGACGCATGTTTTTGTGTGACCTTACTCATGTTGATTCTGTAGTTCAGTTGTTTGCGCTAAGCTTTGTGGCACAGGTAATAGCAGAAATGCATCTCCTATTAAGTCAGCAAAGATACTTTCATCTGCAAATTATAGGAAAAAAAACAACTCAATTCAAGTTAAACCAATGATCCTCCAACTTTAACATATATATCAGAATCACCCTGTTAAAATACCAACTGCTGGGCCTTACCCCCCAAGTTTCTGATCCAAGAAATCTGGGGTGGAGTCCACGAATGTGCATTATTAGCAAGTTCCCAGGTGATGCTAATGCTGAAGGTCCAGGAGCCACACATCGAGGACCACTGACTTAATAGGAATATTTTATCTCACCTAAAAAGAGGCTTGGAGGTACACGGTTCCATGGTGTGTTAGTTCAGTTACTTACGGACCTCACCAAGGGTGTTCCTTCCATCTCTTCTCTTTCCTGCTCTCCATGTCTCGGGTCTGTCCTGGTTTCACGTTGGCTCTGGCAGTTCCAGGTATCCCATCCAGATTCAGATCAAATGACACTGAGAGGAAGAAGATTTGTGGGGCTTTCCCTCCATTGTGTTTAAAAACAACAACAGAGAAACTTTACTTATTACACTTGAATTTGAGGTCATCAGGTTGAGTCAGAACTTCAAGATTATCATGCTCCAAAGTCAAAGCTGCATAGAAGAGACACCCAAGAGGCAGCAGTGAAGGAGTTTCTTTTGAGCTCTGCCATTTCCATGTGGAATTTCTTTTCATTTTTCCAAGTACTTGCTGCTTCCCAAATCTGGAAGGATGGATCCTTCTGTGGTCTTGCTTTGTATCATTTCCCACTTCTCCGTGGTGGGTTCTGGCCCTGGGATTGGCCCAGCCCTCCCTTAGCATCTCTTTCTAGGAAAGAACTATGTACGAGTGTCCTGCTCAGGGTGAGGGTTGGCAAGAAGCCCTCTTTCCCTCCCGGCTGAGAGACCTTGTGTGAGGCTGCAGGAACAGGGTCCCTGTGTGGTCTCTCCCTGTGTATTCATCTAAACAGATTTGCCTGTCCCACCCCCATCACATCTTGTTCTTCTCCTAGGTTAAACTCGGGGATAAGTGTACTTCATGCTGTGTGACTGCTCATATCATCCTTAGGCCTGATGTGTTTCTCTCCCCTTCCGCCCTGCTTCCCTATAATCCCCACTGAGTCTTGGCCTCTCCTCCAGATCCTACAGGCCCTGGGGAAGTCCTACCACCCCGGCTGTTTCCGCTGTGTCATCTGTAATGAGTGTTTGGATGGAGTGCCCTTCACCGTAGACTCAGAGAACAAGATCTACTGTGTCCGAGATTACCACAAGTAAGAAGAGACAGGAGTAGACAGGAACCATTCGTGTAGGCCAGGCTGATCTCAGCAGAGTGAGTGATGGAAACTGACAGAACCGTGTTTGCCAGCCACCCTGAGATCACAGTCCAGCAAAGGCTTAATGGTCTTGAGGGGTACAGCGGAGACCTTGGGAGGTTGGTCGATGCCAGTGATGACAGGAACGGGTTAAAGAATCATGTGTAGTGAAAAAAAATAGAGCACTAAAAACAATACTTATAATCATATTCCTGGCTGGCCTTGGGAGGAATCCACCAAGCCCTGTGGCATCAGCGGGACCTAACTTCACGAGGCCCTCATGCAGTGCTGGTTTCCACGGCTCTTGCTTTGCCTGGGCCTGTGCTAGGCAGGGTGAGGGGTGTAAACAGACAGTTAGTGCTGTCCCCAGAAGAATGAGAGGCAGCCAGTGTCCTCGTTGCAGACAGGGAACACTCCTTAAGCAGTACTAAGGCATCTTCCACAAAGTGAGCCGGGTTCCAGTCATTTATGAGGGAGGCGAGTGTTGGGCAGGAGGTGGCATGGAGGAAGGCTCCATGTGGGCTCCGGGTGCAAGTCTAACTCTGGGCTTTGCTCCCAGATGCAACACTATGTGCATTTTACTGCTGCTTTGTTTCTCCACACAGGGTGCTGGCCCCCAAGTGTGCAGCCTGCGGGCTTCCCATCCTTCCACCTGAGGTAAGGTGCCTTTCCAGACATGCTCCCAGGGGCATCTAAGACCTGAATATCTCCCGGGATCATTTACAAGATCCATGTCCTGTCCCTACATCTTTTAAGATATCCTTTTAAAAATCTCGACTCCGGCCTGGGTGCAGTGGCTCACGCCCATAATCCCAGCACTTTAGGAGGCCCAGGCAGGAACCGTTCTTGAGGCCTAGCGTTTAGGACCAGCCTGGGCAACATAGCAAGATCTCATCTCTACAAAAAAAATGTTAAAAATTAGCCAAGCGTGGTGGCACGTGCCTGTAGTTCTAGCTCCTTGGGCCCAAGAGTTTGATGCTGCATTGAGCTATGATGGTGCTAACTGCATTCCAGCCTGGGTGACAGAGCAAGACCTTGTCTCAAAAAAACAAACAAACAAGCAAAACTACCTCATCTCTGAGATAAGTGGTGTCCTCACCCTTCCTTGTTGCCTGGCTTCCCCAGCCCAGTACCCTCCTCGTGCTGGTTTTTCCCCATAATCAGGTCAAACTCCCTTACTTGATACTAATTCTTAGATTAGCAGATGAGCAGAGAGGCTTGTCTTTTATTCATTTTTAAAAACAAATGTCCATGTAAGTCTTTCTTTCATTGTTGACTCTGACATTCCAGAAGGAAGGGCTTCTGTCCCTCCCATTTCGCCTCTTGTCAGCTTAAGTGTATTCTTTTTCCGACAAGTACTGCTGATTTACAGCCTCCTCCCAGGGCCACCTACCTGCTACCCCCAAACCCTCTTCCCTCCCCACGCTGCGGTGCATCAAGTCCGACAGGCCCCTTTACAGGCTTCTCCTGCGTGTTCTTGCTTTTCTTTGGTCCCAGGGCTCAGACGAGACCATCCGTGTTGTGTCCATGGACAGAGACTACCATGTGGAGTGTTACCACTGTGAGGTAGGTGCCTCCCCACCCAGCCCCAGAGCCCATCGTAGACATCCACAAGAAAAGCATTCTGCATTGACTGGGGCAGGAGGTGGTCAACAAGATTCTGGCAAGGGTCAGCCCTCTAGAGCTGCTGTAGGAAGTGGGGTGAAGCCTCGTTCTTGGCGGAGGTGGGAGATGATGGAAATGCTCAAGGTCGAAAGGTCTTTCTTCTGAACGTTCAGAACTATCAAGTCCTGCAGCTGTTGGAGCTGCTCTCCCTGAAGCTGCAGAACTAGGAGGGTCGTGGAGAGCATGGGTTTCAGGTCCTGTCTGGAGGCCGCATTGTCAGGCAGGTGTGCGGTTTGGGAAGAGACTCCCTCCCCTCCAGCTTGCAGGCTGTTCTGTCTGCCAGAAGCCGCTCCCAGCAGAGCCCTGGAAATCATGAAGCCCCTCTTGGAAACAGGCATGACAGCTGAGTGGTGTGAAGGTGGGTGGAGTTCGCCTGCCCCTTCCTGCCCTGTGTCCCAACCCAGGATGAAGGAGCATTAGTACCTCATGACTGTCAGGAAAGCTAGGAGTCACCCCTCACCAGCCCTTGTGAAGGGTGACCATGGAATTTCAGCCACAATTAAGTGAATTCACCCATGGAAGGGTATTAGATTCGCTTGGTGACTTTGTGGGTAGAGAGAATGGGGGTGTCCCTCATATAGACTGGTCCTACTGCCAACACTGAAGAAATGGGTGGGAATCATTGCTGCTGGGACCTCAGGTGCCCCAGGTCACCACTGCAGGAGAAAAAGGTGAGGACATTTGCTCAACAGGTCTCTCCACATCTTCTAGACCGGTGCTGTCCAAAACAAATATAAGGGGCCGGGCACGATGGCTTATGCCTGTAACCCCAGCATTTTGGGAGGCCAAGACTGGCAGATCACTTGAGGTTAGGAGTTCAAGACCAGCCTGGCCAACATGGTGAAACCCCATCTCTAGTAAAAATACAAAAATTAACCAGGCATAGTGGCACGTATGTAATCCCAGCTACTCAGGAGACTGAGGCAGGAAAATTGCTTGAACCCGGGAGGTAGAGGTTGCAGTGAGCCAAGATCACACCACTGCACTCTAGCCTCAGCGACAGAGGGAGACTCTGTCTCAAAAAAACAACCAAAAAAATTCTAAATGTTATCTTTTAAACATGTAATCAGCATTAAAAAATTACCCATGAGATTTTTTTTTGTAATTCCACAATTTACTTATTCTTCTAAAAAAAAAAAATGAGATACATGTACAGAAGCTGCAGGTTTGTTACGTAAGTATATGTGTGCCATGGTGGTTTGCTACATCTATTGTCCCATCCTCTAAGTTCCCTCCCCTCATTCCTGCCACCCCCACACAGGCCCTGGTGTGTGTTATTCCCCTCTATGTGTCCGTGTGTTCTCACTTATGAGTGAGAACATACAGTGTTTAGTTTCCTGTTCCTGTGTTAGTTTGCTGAGGATGATGGCTTCCAGCTTCATCCATGTCCCTGGAAGGGACACGATCTCATTCCTTTTCCCCATGAGATACTTTCACATCCTCTTTTTGTCCTAAGTCCTAGGAATCTGGTGTGCATTTACACTGACAGCGCATCTTGTTATTTTGTTTACTCTTTTTTTTGAGACGGAGTTTCGCTCTTGTTACCCAGGCTGGAGTGCAATGGCGCGATCTCGGCTCACCGCAACCTCCGCCTCCTGGGTTCAGGCAATTCTCCTGCCTCAGCCCCCTGAGTAGCTGGGATTACAGGCACGCGCCACCATGCCCAGCTAATTTTTTGTAGTTTTAATAGAGACGGGGTTTCACCATATTGACCAGGATGGTCTCGATCTCTTGACCTCGTGATCCACCCGCCTCCGCCTCCCAAAGTGCTGGGATTACAGGCTTGAGCCACCGCGCCCGGCTGACAGCGCATCTTAAGTGGTTCACAGCAAGTGCTGTGTGGCTGTGTCTCCTGTGTTGGACAAGCCTCCGCTGGGCAGGAGCTGTGTTTCTGCACCAGCATTTCCTGCCTGTACAGAAACACACAGCACCCTCTGCTGATTTTGGGGACTGTGGCCTTCATGTCAGTCTTGCAGTCTGTTTTGTTTTGCTTCCCATGGACATGTCTGCCTCTCCCCAGGACTGTGGTCTGGAGCTCAATGATGAAGATGGCCATCGCTGTTATCCGCTGGAGGATCACCTGTTCTGTCACTCCTGCCACGTGAAGAGGCTGGAGAAGAGAACCTCGTCCACAGCCCTTCAGCAGCACCACTTCTAGCCAGCGCCTCTTGCAGGCATCACGGCAGGGGATGAGGAGCCAGGGTTGCTGCTGCTGCTTCCGGTGGCCCCTGGGGTGGAAGTGGGGTAGGGAAAGAGGAGGGGCAGGAGGGAGCGTTCCTGTATGCGTGAGGTGCCTTTCCTTTAACCAGGGAGGTGAACACTACCTGCCTGCTACGTGTATTTTCCAAGTGCTTTTCTCTGTTGCCACATTTTCCTCAGGTTACTCAGGAAAACGCTCCAGATGTGCATAGCGTGTGACGTAAGGTTACATCACTGCCACAAAGGAATCCTGTCCCTGCCGGGAACATTTCATGCTTCAGAGGGAGAGGTTTTTGTTGAGCTTGTTTCACAATATCCCGTTGAAGGGACAGCTCAGCTGCCAATACATTCACCCCTTGCTCTTCCTTCGGGAAAACACCTAAACCCGAATACCCCTCCCCCCATACATACCGTGACATAATTTAAGGCTTCTTTTCACCCAAGAGCTTCGGTTCTTCTGCAGAATGGCTGCAAATTTCATTGCATTAAGGCAAGAAGGAAGCTCTAATATGTGCTTTGTATCCCAAGAAGAATTTGCTTAGAAAACCAGAGGCAAGATTTGAAATAAGTGAGGCAGGGTTTCCTCCTCAGACACTGACAGCATTCCCTGTGCCCCTGCAAACCCTTACTCTCCTAAAGGCAGCTGAGGCCCCGACAGAAATTTGCCCCGTGTGAGTAAAACATACTTTGGGAGAAGAACTTGGTGCAGGCACCAGGAGTTTTTGTTTTTTTGTTTTTGCCCACCTGTTTGCGCTGTTTTTCTCTGGCGTTCCCAAGAGTCGGTGACTTAGAGCCACTTCTGCAAGGCAAGTCTCAGGAACCCATGCAGGTACATCGCTTGCACCTGTTTGTAGCTTATTTAATGACGGGTTTTGGGAAGAACTGCCCTCATACTGAGAGACAGCTCCATACAGACAAGGAGAGTTTTTGTGTGTGCGATCTCGAAGCCAGCGTGGGAGGGAGCGCCTCGGGATAAGTTATTATTTTCATTTCGTTGGTTTCTCTCCTGCCCAATTCTTGGCACAGGCATTATGTTTGAGGAAACCAGTATAAGGTACACTGCTTTCGTCTAATTTTTTTAGTTGTTTCCTTTCACTTTCAGTCTTCCACACACAAAAAAATACCTCACAGATAGAGCCTCACCAAATCACAGATTCAGGAGGAATTTGGCTTTCACACGGGACTCAGATACCTTCTTTGGTGGGTTGGAAATCACTGGCTTCACACAGGCCAAACTCCAGCTGGTCAGGGCTGTGTGATCGTATAACTAAAGGTCAGCAGGGAATAGATCGGATTCAGCACTTTTGCCTGATGCATTTCAGCATCCTGGCTCCCCAGGGTGGCGGGAGCTGAGGGAGGGCCACATCCTGGCAAGATTTCAAGATCACCCCCTGCACTGAAGAGGTAAAATTTGCGCTGCAAGTCACATTCCTGAGGCCAGAGGTCAATAGTCCTTGGTATTTCGATTAGAAGAAGCTGCATAAGAAAGGCAGCCCATTTTACCACTGCCAGCCAGGCCGGGAACACAGGAGGCAGGCGGCATGTGCACTCCGCCTCCTCACCTCACACCCAGAGCAAGAGGACTGGGTGCTGGGCTGCAGAGGGCGGTCCGTGGAGCCCCTAGCACGTGTGAACTCAGGCTTGTCACTGGGCCTGGCTCCACTTCTAGGCCATGTTTTGACTCATTTGGTAATCGTTGCCTGTAAGAAGCACAGAATTGGTGCCGTGGATGATCTTTTCCATTTTGATGAAATTCATTCTGTTGGAATTCTTTGGCCAGATGCCACTTCAGCAGGGTGTGCACCTTTATTGGTTCTTTTTCTTTTTTTTTTTTTTTTGAGACGGAGTTTCGCTCTTGTTACCCAGGCTGGAGTGCAATGGCGCGATCTCGGCTCACCGCAACCTCCGCCTCCTGGGTTCAGGCAATTCTCCTGCCTCAGCCTCCTGAGTCGCTGGGATTACAGGCACGCGCCACCATGCCCAGCTAATTTTTTGTAGTTTTAGTAGAGACGGGGTTTCACCGTGTTGACCAGGATGGTCTCGATCTCTTGACCTCGTGATCCACCCGCCTCGGCCTCCCAAAGTGCTGGGATTACAGGCGTGAGCCACCGCGCCCGGCTATTGGTTCTTTTTCACAGGCTGAGCCTCTTGAAAACCCAAGAATGCTGGGGCTGGGGAAGTGAACCCTGAATCAGGGACCCTCTCTTCCCATCAAGTCATCCAGCTCAGTGTGGGCATGGTGGGGGGGTAAATGAAGCCAGCCAATGTGTTAACCTGCCTCTGTCAACCTAAGAACATTGGCCTTACTGACACACCTTCACTGCACATTCAAGACATACAGAGTAAAGAAAATTGCAGTTGAACTACCACCAGACGTAGCTGGGATTTGTTTGCAAATTGAGTAATTAGTTTAAAAATCTGTGATTACATTATTTAGTGAAAATTTTAAAGTGGCCTAGATTGAGGTGATTCAGATAGGTTTGCAGATATACCATTTTATATTGTTGAGAAAGAACAATAAGAGAATTTCCAGATGTCCTAGAAATCCTAGCAATGGATTTCTCTCGTCAGTTTCCCTGGAAGGTGCCAGGTAGGAATCTCCAATAAGTTGTCTCCCCCGCCCCCGCTTCAGGGCCTTGCACAAAAGTCATGAAGAGATGTTCACCTACCTGGTATTTTAAATGTTCTGTAAATTATTAGCCAAACGGAACTGTAATGGGGTTGTATTTATGGGTGCCTAGAAAGAAAACACAAGGACTTGGTAGGCCAGGAAGAAAAGGTTTTAAAATTTAGAATGAACAGCCCTTCCGGGTTTTCTGTTTGACAGTTCTTGGACTATAGGTAAAACAAGGAGGATTGTGGCCTGATTTCAGATCCCAAAGCCAGCCCCCATCTTGCGCCTTGGCCTCATTGTGCCTTTTAGGTTTTTTTTACCCACTGTCACCTGTTTTGTTTTGTTTTTTTTTCTTTTCCCCTAACCCCGTCTTGGGACATTCAGAAACTGCCTGGCTGGTTTGAGAAGAGACAATAACCCAGTTTGATCTGCAATATAAGGATCCATTCGTATTCTCTGTCTCTCACTGATGTTATTCCCCCATCTGCCGTCTTGGTTCATCTCACCCCAGAAGGGCATTTAGTCCTAACCGGCCATCGGCTGCTTATGGCAGCAGGATGGCACTTCCCATTTCTCTGTGGTTAGTGCTCGAGCGAAAACCTCTGTCAGCGGAGTCCTCTGAGGTTCTGCTGTTGAGTCCTGGGTGACTGATGGAATGATTGAGGAGTTCTGATCACCCTCAAGCGCCATCATCGCCTTGTTTCCATGGGCTTGAGTCACACAAAATGAAGAACAGAAATGTTAGGGCTTGAGAGAATGTTTGGAATTCACACTCCTTTGCAGCCCTTTCCAGGCTGCCACTATGTGCTGTGTCCCTTGCATGTGAAAGTAGAGCTATGATGGCTGCTGGGACCCTTGCAAAGATCATGTGTGAGAATTGAGCACAAGACCACTAAACTATTACTGCTTAGTGCACTTGTTAAAACTCTATCTGCCAGGAAACAATTTTTTTTTTTTTTTTTTTTTTTAGACAGGGTCTCACTCTGTTGCCCAGGCTGGAGTACAGTGGTGTGATCTCAGCTCACTGCAGCCTCCACTTACTGGGTTCAAGTGATCCCCCCATCTCAGCCTCCCAAGTAGCTGGGACCAGAGCTGCATATGACCACAATAGGCAATTTTTGTGTTTTTAATAGAGATGGAGTTTCACTATGTTGCCCAGGCTGGTCTCTAACTCCTGGGCTCAAGTGATCTGCCTGCTTCCGCCTCCCAGAGTGTTGGGACTACGGCCGTTAGCCACTGCACCTGGCGCAGTTGTTTTTGTCCTCTCCTTTACGCCAAGAATCAGTCCTAATTTCTTATTTAGTATTTGAAGTAACTTTTAAAAGCAACAGAAAAACTCGGGTGCGGTGGCTCATCCTGTAATCTCAGCACTTTGGGAGGCCAAGGCGGGCGAATCACTTGAAGTCAGGAGTTAGAGACCGGCCTGACCAACATGGTGAAACCCCATCTCTACTAAAAATACAAAATTAGCCAGGCATGGTGGTGCACATCTGTAATCCTAGCTACTTGGGAGGCTGAGGCAGAAGAACTGCTTGAACCTGGAAGGCAGAGGTTGCAGTGAGCGGATATCATGCCATTGCACTCCGGCCAGGGCAACAGAGTAAAACGCCATCTCAAAAAAAAAAAAAAAAGTAAAATATATTAGCTATCTTTTATTCTGAGCCAAAACTTGACAGATGTGGGAAATGTCCATATAGTATGAAAATTTCATTGTACAAGGAAATTATTTTCCTCTGTGTCTTTCCTTTTACTATAAAATGATTCAGAATTTTACCATAAAATTATTCAAAGTATTTTGACAAAACTGCATCAATTTGTTGACTATTAAAGTGCTCCTTGAACATTGTATTTCCTGGGTCTTTTCTATGTGTGGAGTCGGCAAACAATGCTTTTTGCTACCTGGACTTTGTCTTCTTTAGACCTCTGGATTCCTAAAAGAACCATATGGGTATCAAACCTGCGAAGGGTATGAGATTTTACCCCACCTGCAAGCTAATAAAGTGGGCACGGCATGGGTTCATGGATCCTGGCAGAAGTTATGAGACTCATAGGTAGAGACAAAGGACACTTTATTATAGCAATAGCAGTGGCCAGATTATCACCACTTGCCCTGGTTCCCTGAGCCCCAATTCCTGCAGTGCCCCATGAAGAGGGCCAGGTGATCCCTGCATACGCAGTGGGCTGTTACAAGAGGAACCCCCATGCTTAAGGAGCCCTGGTATTTGATAATGGGCAGTAAGCCTGCCTGACCTTTGCTCCAGAGACAGACACTATCTCTAACATCCAAGACTGTTCACAATATAAACATCCTTGAAAAAATAGTCTGGAACCTGGCAATTGGTGCCTATTCTTACCAGATATATACACACATGAGAGGCCTTGGAGAATCGTATCCCCATAATCAGCAGTTTCTTTTACTGGACCTTTAAGATTGAGATTTGTAAGGTCACTTCGTCTTTTTTGTGAATGTTACTGATTTTTGTTTTCTTCTGAGGTTATGGCCAAAGAATCCTCAAGGTGAGTGATCCCTCAGGTTTGAGACAGCCACATGCAGGAAGACAGGACTTGTAGAGCGATGGGGCCAGTGTGGTTAGAATCC